TTCAAAACTCAAAGTTTTCTTCCCATATATCAAAACATGTTTAATATGCTCATAGGAAGAGGAAGAGACCATATAAGTCTCAAAGCTTTATCTTCATCATCAATCTTGACTCTAATAGTTTCTAATTCAGAAAATAACATTTAGAACACTTAGATGATCAAATACTTTTGTATGTTCATCCACACACAAGTTATGAAACTGCTCCTTCAACAATAAACGATTTGATATATCCTTTCCTCGATATAGCCCTTCAAGTTTCTCCCAAAACTCTTTGGCTGACGATGTACCAAGAACATTCGCAAGAATATTCTTAGCCAAAGACATGTGAATTATACTCGAAGCTCTCAAATCTAGTTCCTCCCACTTCTTGTTGTCCATGTTGAAAATGTTTATTTTCAACGCCTTGTGTAATCCTAATTGTATCAATAAACATCTTTGACTTGAATTTTCTTTAAGCCAAAATTTCTCTAAGTCAATCTTCACTCCACTTGAAAAACTTGACATTGCAACAAAAACCTTTCTTGCAATAAACCAAAAATTTCCTAACCAACACAAAGTATAAAATTTCTTTTATGATGTGGAAGATTAGACAAATCTCCAACCACATAGCATACTAAAATTTATACTCTACCAAACCAGACTCTGATACCACTTATTAGGAAAAACAAACCATAGAGAAAAAAGAGGAATAAAATAACAACACAAAAGATTAACGTGGAAACTCCAAACCACGACTGTTGTCAAATGACAACCAGAGAATATCACTATATAAAAATTGTTACAACACATAAACTACTCTCAATCACCCTAAGACCCCTATATACACCAATATTCTCCAAAGTAAATATTTAACTACCTCTCTCTCACAACACTCTAAAGCAAGAATATGAAAGAAAATATAAAAACTAAACGAGAAATGAAGGATTCAAATGAAGAATAGTCAAACAACTAATTGTAAGACTTTGTTGTTGTTGTAGACACAATTATCAAATAATGAGAAATAAAAGATTCAAAAGGGTATAATAATTTTAATCTCTTATAAATTGAATCTGTTCTACTTTCTATTATATTAAACAAACCCTTATGCAAAACTCCTAATTTAACATCTTCGGGACAATAGTATTGTTTAGTTGAAATTGAGCAATCTATGTAGATACAAAATTTTAATTTATTACTTGACGATGATTTAGTACATTTACTAAATTATCCATGAACACCATCATTGATCCAAAGGTTTTTCAGAAAACTGTATAAATTTTTCAGATGATAATATCTCCACTCTAAATAAAATTTATGAACCAATTATCAATTTAGCCAACACCTTCTATCATAAGTATATCATATTAAATTATAATCTACAACTTCTTGTAAAAACTTTCCACCAAAACTCTCTTTTTATTAATTCACTTATTAATTAATTAATTATTAAAGTTTAATAGACATGCACTGTTAATGTAAAAAAGTTATGCGATCATCCAATAAAAAATTATGAATTTGTTAAATTATTTAAGTTTTTTAAATTACAGAATGACGTGATATAATGCGCGTCGTTTACCATCAATTCATATTCTATTTTATTATTATTATTATTATTATTATTATTATTATTATTATTATTATTATTATTATTATTATTAATATTAATAATAATAATAATAATAATAATAATAATAATAGTTAATTATATTAATATTAATTTATTAAATAATAAAAAACCAACCCACCACTCACGTAAAACCACCTCCTTAATTAATGCTGAATTTTGCATACTATAAATTTATCTCTTCAATTAATTAATTAAAAAAAAATTAAATGGTTAAACCTACCACATAACCCACATCAAAAGAAAAAAACTTTTCTATTTCAGTTAAAATAACCACCTATCCACCACGTAAACATGAAAACAACAACTTATTGTTTCTAATCCTTTATAAATTTAGGTTCTACTTTGCATAATAGACAACATTAAATGTAAATTGAGTAATAGGAGACAACAATCAAAAGCTAAACAAATTTGTTTCACAGAATCAAAATTTATTTTCAAAAATTATTTATTAAAAAAAAAATAAAGATAAAAAATTTATTCTAAGTTTATTCTTTTAAAAAAGTTGTTTGGTAACATTTTAATATTTTTAGAAAATTTTTAAATTTTAAGATTTTTTTTATTTAAAATTTCGTTGAAATCCATATTTTCATTCTTTTATATAAGAATAATTTTATAAAAATATGAGAATTTATAATAAATTATTTTTTTCTTTGAAACCTTTATATTTTAAAAATATTATTTTCAACCTTGTAATAGGTATACTCATTTCTTATTCATATATTTTTGAAAATTTTATTTTTAAATTTGAAACAATAGTGTAATTTTTTGTATTGTTTTGTTCACTCATTTTTGAAAATGCCGACAATTTTTTTTCACTCCTTCTTTTATTTATTATTCTGATATAGTTATTTTTTCATCTTTTATTTTTATTTTCTTTGATTTAAATGCACTTTTGATCAATTTATTTGTTTTGATATTTTTAATTTTTAGTTCCTCTATTTTAAAATTAAACTTTTTGATTTTTTAACTTTATATTTCTTAAGATTTTGACCCCTCTATTTTTGTACATGTGATAGTGATGATAATAACAAGTTTATTTTCAATAACATGACATTAATGACTAAATAACTTATTAATTAATTTTTTTAATAATAAATTAATAATTTTAATTAAGTTTTTTTTCTAAATTCAAAAAATTAATTAACACAAAGTTTAAAAGAAATGTTCTAACCTCAAGATTATTGCAAATCCGTCCAGCCCACAAGATTATATTATGAGATATTTGAGTATGCTATATAAACATTCAAGTTAAAAGTAACTAAAAGAATGTGGGATCTGGTTTTCTATAAAAGGTAAAAGACCGTTGTTATTTTTATGATTTTTTACACTTTGTAAATAATACTAATTTTTATTGTTTTTACTTTTCCCCTCAATTTTTATTATGTTACAAATATATATTAAATTTATGAAGCAAAGTATTAATTTGTTGCTATTTTCATATATAAAAAAACATTAAATATAAAAAATATTCATATAATTTATATATATTTTAAAGAATTTAACTAAAATAAACTGATAGTATAAAAAAGTTTTGCACCGTCAATGAATTATAATTATTAAAATTTTATAAAATATTTAATTTTTCTTTTAATTACATATAAAATATCATTTATAAATAATTGTGATATACTGAATATAAAAAATATTATACACTAGCATGTATGATAATTATATTCTATTTTAAATTGTTATTTTAAATTATTTATAAAATATAATTCACTAACATTATCCGTGCATTGCAAGGGTAGAATATGCCAACATGCCATGAATGATCAATTTGATTAATTGAATTCTCTCCATAATTGATAAAATCGAATATTGAATAAAGTAAACGTTTGACTTTGAAAAATATTTTTGGTAACAATTTAAATATTTATATATAATTTTTTTAAAAAAAATTATAGTTTTAAAATTATTTATACAAAACTAAGAAAGCTAATAGATTTTTACTTTTAATAAAATGTATATTTTTCCGTTTCATCATGCTTTTAATTATTTATCGTCTCATTTTAATTTATCTATTTCAATAATAAATAATTATAAATGATTTTAATAAAAAATATAATGAATACGATTTTAAAATTTAAAAAATAATTAAAATATTTATTTATTTTATATAAAAAATCTACATTTTAAATAGATAACAAGGGAGTAGTAAACAATTGATGCGTCTTGCAAAGAAACATATTAAATTCGTTATGCATTTTGTTAAAATTTTAATTAATTTAGTCCGAAATTTTGAGTTCAAATAATTTAGTCGGATAACGTGTTTCACATTCACTTTTTTAAGACATATGGGGCTTCTAACTCATATTTCTATTACGACACGTAACCGACTACCATTTTATCAAGAAGACATTCGACACCAAAAATTGGTCTCTTAGTTGAACCTTTAACTCTCTACTAACATAAGAATATGAGAGGGACATCCACATTTGACTAAGAGCAACTATATAAGTGAGTTTGACATTAAATTATAATCACCCAAACCTTAAGACAATTGATTTGAGTCATTTCACTTATATATCGTTCAACTTTCACTTTTTTTTTAAGTAATGTGAGATTTGTGAGTCATCTATTTATATGTTCTCTTCAAATGAAAGTTCTTTCATCTAGATACACTTGTATCGTCGTTGACACTTAATTATCTTGTCAACGAGACATATTGTCTAACCACCATCTTATTAAGAAGACTTTTAACATAAGAAAAATCAATCCCTTAATTGAAACATCATTTCAGATATCTCTTTTCAACTATAAGAGGAACATCCACGTTAAACTAAGAGCAACTATATAAGCAAAATTTAAGATTGCATGTTTCATGATCTAATATATCCATCATATTATGGACCTGCTTGTTTTAGCTTTAAAAAATAGATTTTTTATATGTATTTTCAAAAATGAATTTCATAAAACCATTTTTTAAAATATTAAAGTTTTTAAATATTTGTTTTTTTTATATTAAAAGACTAATTTTAATATCTTATAACATATAAATATATTCAAAGTCACATTTTATTTTTAAAAAATTATATTTTAAAAATGATTTTTATGAAAAACTATTTAAAATAGATTCAAAATTAAGTATTTTTTTAATAAAAATTTTAACATTAATTTTTTATAAAATAATAAAATACTTAAAACAATATTTAAAAAATAACTACTCTAACCAAATTTTATTTGAATACTTTTCAAATTAAAAGAGCAAAAGACTACTCAAAGGGCTAAAGAGTACTGATACATTATTTGAATTTATTCTTCCTTCCACCTCTGCTAGTAAAGCATATATATGTGTCCTATATATCATGAAATTAAAGGAAATACTCAACGAATATAAGCATCTCATTGCAAAAACTCATGCATGATTGAAAATTACTATATATATATATCATGATCAAATGGACTTGGGAAGCTGGGGTGCTTGATTCACCTCTTGTGACATTGATGGTGATGATGATGCATCAACATCAGATTCTTCAGCCACACCCCGCATCTTCTTCGCCCTGCCTAGTTTCTTCTCATTGACAGACAGATCTGTAGCCGGCACTGTTCCATTGGAAGTCTCAACAGCATTAACAATGACTTGGTTGTTATTAGATTCATCAACAACCAATTTGGATGAATCAATGTTCCCCATGACATGGTTGTCATTAGATTCATCAAAAACAAACTCGGATGAATCTACGTTGTCACCAAAACTAGTGTTTTGTCTTACATGTGGTGTAAGAACATGTAATGGTAACTGTGGCATAATAGGATTGAAAAAATAGTTTGACATATCATCACATATAGGTGCTCTAGCACTCTCAAACATATCTTCCCATTCAGTAGTGTAACAATTTGGATAAGCAGATAATGCTTCTGTTACATAGAGGTATTCATAATCATCAACATTGTCCACCATTGATGTTGCTGCTTCAGGAGTTACACCACCTGCTGGGGGAGCCATGTTTTCAGATGAATCTTTCTTGTTCAACATTTTTTCTATTCAACTAGTTTGTGTTCTCTCAATGAGTTTAAACTTTGCATTTGTATTATGTAATATTGTACTTTTATATCTCTTTAGTCACTTTACAAAATTATATTTTTATTAATTATTTAGTGTTTTCTCATTTTCATAATTGACTAGTATTAAAGTAATCAAGAAAAGTATAATAATATATTATTTTAATACATTACCTTGACATTTTAATTAATTAATATATATAATAGTAAGTAAAAATTAAAAGAAATAGATATATTTCAAACCAAAAGAGTAATATTATTACTTTTTCATAATTTAAATTCTATATATATAGTTTTGGCATGACTATTTTATTTCAGATTTACCATTCATTTAAACTATTCATTCACAACTTTATTACTTTTCACTCACTCATTCATTTAAACAATGTTACTCACTTAAACTATTCATTCATTTAAACTATATATATTTCAGATTTACCATTCATTTAAACTATTCATTCTTTTAAAATAATTGGGATAATTAATTTTCTTTCAATCTTATCCTTCATTTTAACAATTTTACTCACATTTTGATTTTTCTTTACTCAAACAAATACTATTTTGAAAAAATCGTTTAAATTATTTTAACTTCAATTATTTAAAAAAAAGCATAGAGAATGGTGTTAGTCAGGAGGATTTTTGAATATTTGATTCCATTCTAAAAATTGCAATTACGTTGACCATATTTGTTTCAATTTACATATTTAAAATACATTTTATAATATCAATTGTATTTTTTAGCATATGCTCTAAAAATGCTCAAAAAAAATTATTTTTCTTACTTGAAAAATTAGACCAAAAGAAAAAAATTAAAACAATTAATAAACTTTTCATAAAGAAATTATTAATAAATAATTATGTCTTAACATAGAAAATCTGAATTGAATCATTGAATCGTGCATTACAATTTTTTTTAATTGAGAGAGAAAAATTACTATTAATGTTTGTTTTTACAATTATATATATATATAATTTTTTTAATTGAGAGAGAAAAATATAATATCAATTGTATATTTTTTTTATTGAGAGAACGGACTTTATTTGTTTTGCGTTTTTATTGTAAATGTTGCGGTTAGCAAGAGTCGTCACTGACTTTTCTTTTATCCAACAAATAAAAGAGTGAAAAGAATAGGAGAGACCTTTTTAAATTTTTTGAGTTCGGGGGTAGATTATGAAAAGGGAAAGTGTTAGCACTCTTTTCACCCGTAGTTATCTACGGACTCTTAGTTGTTAGCTCACTTTTGAAAATGTTTTGTGTTTGTGTGTTTTGAAAATATTTTTGAAAATACGCCTTAGTGCGACGAATTTTGTAATGTTTCTCCTTTCGTTGAGAACGTATACAAAATGTTTTTGTCTTTAAAAATTAGTTAGAAAAGAGTTTGTATATGTGTGGAAAATTATTTTGTTTGTTTTTATGAACAAACAACTATAAGCGATCTACCTATTTGAATTTTCCTCTTTCCCTTAGACAATGCTATCTTACTATTGGTTAGTAGGTAGCCCTGTCATTAGATATTTTGAGGGACAAGCGAGAGTCACCGTACAGTCATAAAGGCAACTCGTAGGGCACTTTAGCAATTTTATCGTAAGGGACTAGATCGTATGTCGAAGGCAGCATCAAAAGGTCATCGAGGAACTACGGTCTTTTTAACTGAGAGTCTTTGCTAAAGTGTCCCATGTTTGAGGGACATGACTATTTTTTCTGAAGGCAACAAGTGGAGGTACCTTAGAGGTGCGTGTGTGTGAAGTGTGTTGTGTTTCAGTTATTTGTCTTGAATGTTAAGTTTTCTACCGTTCGTTTTTAAGTCTTTCCATACAAACCTATTAACATTCATCTAGCAGTTAATTGTATATAAGTACGGGAAATAAAATGCGGAAAATGAATCTATGCTATTACATCGCTTCGGGATGGGGAGAATTACAAACAAAAAATGGGGAATAAAAAGTAAAAGGTCCTAGTTTAACTATTACATCTCATGTGTAATTACATAATTTTATGAAAATAATGTGAATAAAAATAAATGAACGCGGAGGAGAAAGAAAGGAAGATGTAAAGAACCCTAAAAATCTAAGTGGAAGAAAATGTTTTTTTTGTTTTTGCATTTTTTGTTTAGAAAAAAAATTAAATTAAATTTATGGAAACCTAATTCTTAATTAATTAAAAAAAAGAAAATAATTAAAAATAATTTAAATAAAAATTATTTTAATTAATAAAACCTAAGTCTAATATTTTTTTTGTGATTTTTGATTTTTATGATTAAAAGAAATTAATTAATTAAAAAAAGTCTAATATTTTTTGTGATTTTTGATTTTTATGATTATTTAATAAAAAAGAATTAATTGAAAGCAAAGAATAAAATAGTAAATGAAATAATAAAATGAAAAAAAAAATATAAATGAGTTGTTGCAAAAAAAAATTAGGGGTGAATAATCAAAAATTTACAAGGTCCAACATCTCAGGCCCGGGCGTTTGCAAAAGGAAATGAGGGGTGTAGTCCCGAGTTTGGCTAGGCCCAAGACAACTGAGCCCAGGAGCTTTGTTTGATCCAATACATCTAAATTCATGCGTCTATGCTTACATGTAAGATATTAGATTCACTCAAAACATCAATAGTAATAAGAATGCATGCATAAAACTGATTTAAATTACATGGTAAGAGAGTTTGAGATTCAAAATTTTATCAAAACTGTGGGATGGTTATGAGGACGATCGGGATACTTAGGGGTTGAATCTGGACTCTGGAAGACTCCCGGGGATCTCAGGAATATATTAGTGGCTTTGGTTTGGATTGATAGCGCCTGGAAGTGAAGTTATAGATTTTGCAACTTTTCTTTGATTTTTGAGAATTTCGAGAGGGCTCTTGTATGTAAGGATTTCGTGGTCCTTGGCATGCTATGCTTTGTAGTATATATAGAGAATGAAAAGGGCTAGCAAATATGAAAATGAATCAAGCCATGAAGGCTCTCATCAAATGCCATCAATTTTTTTGAATTCTTTCTATTTTTGTCATGTCTATTGCCTTTTGAAGCTTGCAATGAACCTGGACATATTGTAGCATGAATTTCACGAATTTTTTGGGCTTGCAAAAGTTTGTTGGGCTTAAATTTTTTTTAAATTAATTAATTAATTTTAATCATAAAAATCAAAAATAACAAAAATATTATACTTAGATTTTTTTAATTAAATTAATTTTGATTTAATTATTTAATCACTTTCTTTTTTAAATAATTAATCAATTAGAATTAAGTTTCTATTAGTTTAATTATTATTTTTTCCTAAACAAAAACAACAAAAATATTTATTTTCATCATTTAGATTATTCTTAGGTTTTACATCTTTCCCCTCTTTTCTTCTTCGCGCGTTCATCTATTTTTATTCGCATTATTTTCATAAATTATGTAATTGTCCAAAGGTTGTAATAGATTAATTTAGGACCCTTTATATTTTTCTTTCCCCATTTTTGGTTTGTAATTTCCTCCACCCCGAAGCTTTGTAATAGCGTAGATTCAATTTTCCGCACTTTATTTTCCGTACTTATATAAAATTAACTGCTAGATGTATGCTTAATAGGATTGAATGATAAGACTTAAAAACAAACGCTAGAAAACCTAACACTCAAGATAAACATAATTGGAACACAACACACTTCGCACACACGCACCTCTAAGGTACCTCCACATGTTACTTTCAGAATAAAACAGTCACGTCTCTTGATCCTTAGAAGATTTTAGCAGTAACCCTTTGGTTATAAGATCATAAGTCCCTCGATGACCCTTTCGACGTTGCCTCGGTAAATGATCTTAAAACCTTAGAGTAATTGCTAAAGTATCTTACGAGTTGCTTCCGTGATTGTACAGTGACTCTCGCCTGTCCTTCAAAACATCCAACAATATGGCTACCTACTGACTAATAGTAGGATAACATTGTCTAAAGGAAAAAAAAAAAGAACAAAGATTTTTCGAGTAGGTAGAACGCTTATAGTTGCTTGCTCACAAAAACAAACAAAACAATTTTTTCACATACACAAACTCTTTTCTAAATATTTTTCAAAGACAAAATCACTTTGTATACGTTCTCAACGAAATGAGAAACATTACAAAGTTCGCCGCACTAAGGCGTCTTTTCAAAATATTTTCAAAACACACTTACACAAAATACATTTTCAAAGTGAACTAGCAACTAAGAGTGCGTAGATAACTACGAATGGAAAGGTGCTAATACCTTCTCTTTCCATAATCTACCCTCGAACTAAAAATCTTTAAAAAAGTCTTTCCTACTCTTTTCACCCTTTCTTTTGTTGGATAAAAGAAAAGTCGGTGACGACTCTTACTAACCAAACATTTACAATAAAAATACAAAATCAATAAAATCAGTTCTTCCACCGTATTACAGAACTTATATATACAAAATCAGTTCTTTAACTAGTTTTGTTTTGACTCGTTTGATGTTAATTATAATTTAAATGATAGTTTACAAATATAATATCTGACTGTTTCAAAAAATAAAATCGTATAAATTATTTTTTTTCTCAATATATTCGTTCATAAAAATTATTTTAATATCAATATTTGTATCAACAAAAATAGAATAAAGCGAATAACTCTCTATCATCTTTACATAAATTGTTATAATTTCAATACATTAAAGAAATCATACCTCTATTTACATAAATAAATTAACTTTTAAGAGGACGGGAGCATAATATGTTATTGGGTGTAACAATAGATAAAAGTGCATAAAATAAAATTAAAAAGTTGAAAAAAAATCTATTGAAAAAAAACGATAGACTTCTTTAAATTATTTGTGTATTTTTGTGTGGTAAATTCGTCTGAATTTATAATGTTCTTCTTAGATATCACAACCAATTTCAACAAAATATTTGTGCATAATTTCTTACTATCAACCCTTTTTATCTAAATATAATCACTCGAACTCTTGTGTAGAAGTCAATATTATAAAAAAATACATTACAT